TATATATATATATACTTGTCTTTTCTTCATATATTTTTGAGTTGTGTTCATCTCTCGGTCTCCTTTTAAAAGGCCATTTGTACCATTATGGTGATTTTAGGGTAATAACTGTTTGTCGGTAAGTATTAACGATGTAGGCAAAAGACAAGTGGCAGTTTTATTTGTAATGTTTTTTATTATATGCTTCATCCTTAATTTGTGTCATGAAGTCTGTTTTTATGACTAATATAATTATTTTCACTTGACATGACACTTTTATAGCATTAAATAGTGTTTAATTTTCCTGGCTTTTGGATTGCTTAACTTTTTATTCCCATTTACAGCGGATTCTAAATTCATGTTTGAGTTTGCTATTTTAAGTTTTAGTGATAACTTATGCTTTTAGACTCCTGAAGTTATGGGGGGCTTTGGTTCCTGATGAAGAACTTGTGGCTCGGAAAAGTAAGCAGTGGCAATACATCGGTTTTCAGGTAATTATGATGACTTCTCCTTATCAACTGTAACGCAACTCCTCTTAATATCACTTTATTAACAGAAGAAAACTTAAGAGAAATAACTAGAGCTAGGACTCAGTTGGACAGTATCATAATTTCTTCCAATTGCTCTTTTCTATGTTTGCTTAAACTTTCCTGTGTCGACTGTAACTGCCAAGTTGTTCTTCCTTGTTGAAGATTATGAATGAGGAGGGTCCTTAAGAGAAATCTTGGTAAATTATGAAAAACCGTTAGAAAGTCAAAATGTGTGCCTCGTTATTTTTAGTTCTTCTCACTAAGGTAGTCTCCGAGAAGTAACAAGTTAAATTAGTCTTACTTCGCAATAATCTTGGAGCCAGCGAAAGGTTGTTGCTCATTTTCTGTAACCATGTGAAGTTATTACATAGGTTATTACTTTCGTCTTGCTTACACCCGCTGGTAATCGGAAATATTCCTTCCGATTGTACGATAGACAATTAGTACCAAGTGCGCCAGAGTTGTGTCATATCTGAGCTGTTAAATATTCTTCGGGCGTTTTTTCCTGAGAAACATTTTTTAATAAAAGAAACCGTATTATTTCACTTGAATCCCCGCGGAATTATTTTACTTACCGATAGGCTTTAAGAATCATTCAAGATGCACTTCTTTGGAGAGTTCACCTTTGCGGAACACTTTGTTTATAGCAATGTCCTCACCCTACTGCATTCTTCAGCAGTACGGAGAAGAGCCACATTTCGGATGGTGTCGATGATATTTCTTAGTAACTTTTCTGTTTTTGTTGTTCTCTCCCACCTATTTCGTATGCGTCCTGTGCACGGAATGTAACATTTTACTTGTATATTAAAAGCATATTTCTTCATATCTTGCGTTTCAGTTTGGTAGTACAAGTTCGTCCAGTTTTAGGGAGATGATCCAGCGACCGATTTCCGGGGTATGGGTGCTCTGGCACTTGACCAACTGGTTTTTTTTGCGAGGTATGATGTCGATGAGGCCCGGGATTTATTGGAGAAATCTGTACATAAAACCACTGGGTATGATCTCTCATTGTTACCGACTTGAAGGGGTTTGATGAATAGCTTAGCAAATTTATTTTGAAGTTGGGCATCATGATCGAAATGAATCATCCGATTTGCTTTCTCGTTTTGTACTTCTGTCATTACCATTTGCTCCCCTCATAGGTTCCCAATGGCCATAACTGGTATTGCAATAACATCAGGATTATGTCATCTAATGTTCAATGGTCACTTAAAAAATCATTTTTACAACACAGTTGTTAACTCATTGAAGATGGATGACTTTCATCATGCGTATTGTAAGCTCTGTTTCTTGCCGATTCATTTTATCATAGACATCAGTTTATTAATTTCTTCATTGATTCAAGGTGTCCCTTTGCAGGCCAAGTCTTCAAACTTTTCTCTAAACATTGGGCAGCTTCGAAACCCCCAACAATAATGGAATTCAGTTCAGTATTTGATGACTTTTTCAAGAAGCTTCGCGAATATTTAGCCAGTTTTTCTGCCAATTTGAATACTGCAGATGAATTTCTGATTTTTAAAATCAAAGACAGTCAAATACGGTTTTGAACTAACTAGTAACTTTCTGTCTCCTATCTGTTCTTGAAGTTTTGTGTTAAAAGAATGGTATAGTATAATAGTCTTCAAAAGATTTTGTATTTCTGTTTTCTTGCGTCTTAAGTTTTTCGGGCTTTTTTGAGCAAAAGTTCGTGCACTCCATTTCCAGTGTAAGAATCCCATCTTCCTTCAAAGCACCAAGTAATGCACTGTTTTGTAAATAATTTTGCATATCGTTACTCTCAGAAGACCGGGAGAGAACAACCAGCCACAAGATTATTTCACAAAAAACTTCAGTTGCTTTGAAGGATGTTTGAACTGGTTGTGGACACCTTTACTTTTTCCCAACTAGTTTGCAGAGTTACAAGTGTTTACTTGAATCCGCTGGTCTCTTATTTCAAAGCCTTTTTTCATCGCGATTAGAGGGCAATCCTATGTTAAGAAAAGCTGGTAGAATGAAACACCTAACTTGAGCATTTTAATGGCATTACTTACCTTAGCGCGTGCATTTCATTCTTTACTGTGCACAGAGCGAATTACCATCATAATACTCATCGTCTAAATTCCGTCTAGTCGAAATTGTAAAAAAATTGTCAACTGCATAATAGTTCCTGATCTCTGAAAATCTTTAATCTTCCTTTGCTGTGTTGATTTCTGGAAACGGTTTACTGTAGTTCTGGTCTCTCAAATGCTGATGGATGGAACTTCGTTGTTATTAATTTGTTCATAAAAGTCAATCATGAAAGATTTTGGCCCCTAGAACTTTACCACGTAAAAATCAGATACTTCTTGCCGAGCACTTTCTAAACTGCAACCTGGGAAGACTGATTGTTTCACTACCAATACATCCCTCTCGACAGATAAGACGCATCGCACGACCCACTCAACCTTGCAAGCTGCAGCATGAACTTACCTGTGAGAATTCAACCCTGCAGTGTCTAACCGAGATACTGAACCTATCCTTTACAAATTCCCACCGAACACCGCCCTCCTAGGTCACGGAACACTATGCCAGCAGAACAGTCATCAAGCAGACCAGAGAAGCTGAAGGATTTATTTGGAGTAAAAACATTGAATTTAGAGTATAAATTGTTGGTCAAACAGTTTTAATTCTAACTGCATCACCTACCATCAATTCTTCTTTTACTCTTAGTTTATATAGCACTTTGTTGTTTCTGCGAATAGACAAGGTAAAACCACAAACTGGTAGATGAATCAAAGTATAAAACAAAAAAGCACAATCAGTTGCTATAGTGTCTTTATACACAGGAGGTTAAACGGATAAAGGGAAACAAAAACAAGAAAAGGAAAACAATTTACGGCGTTCCTAGCCTTTTAAACAAATGAAGTCCAACTTTATTCAAGATCAATGTGTATAAATTTACAAAACTGACTAAACATGCACAATCAATGACATGACCAAGCAATCCGAGGGATATTCACTAGAAACAATTCTACGGCAGAAAATAAATTACGGACTGCCTGATAAAAAAACATGGAATTGTGATCAAGAAACTGACCCATATACGCAAAAGACCTCTCATTTCCCAAACCCCAACTTCAACTTTATTGGGGCCCTCAGCATTCCACCCTTATTGAGAATTGCTTCTTGCTCTGTTTTAGTTAGCAAATCCTTTTCCCTTTGTAAGGCATTCCTCTCCATTTCCCACTTACTTTTCGCTTCTAACATAGACAAGCGCTCCTCTTTCTGAAAAGTAAAGTGTCAGGGGCACACTTAATGCTACAGCCCAAACTTAAGAAATGCTACAATGAAATATAGAAGACCGAGTAACGTCTACAAGCGAACTTGCAAATTACCAAAATCACACAGCTATTACAGGAACATGTGATGAAAACTCAAAATCAGCACTTACCTGAAGTGGAGGAAGAAAATTTAAATTCAAAAATTAAAAATCTCAAACAGACGTACTGTACAAAAGGACGATTTCATCATGGTATTGAACGTATGCGCCCAATCAGCTGCTCCATCAATAACTATCGCTGTTTCGTCTTTTGAGTGATTATGATTTTAATTTGACAGCATGATCTATTTCCAAGAAATTTACCACCTAGTTTATTGGCTAGAGCCCCAACTACATCACAAATTCAAAAAACATGAAACTCAAGCCAGCCTGCATTCTCTAAGAAAGCGGAATCAAACTATAGTAATTAAGTCTGTGTTCAGTAGGACACTTCGAGCAAAAATATATTAAAAATTATTATAACCTAAAAAAATAAACTAATCCACATCAAGAGCCCTAAAATGCCACAATTCCTGAAATGCAGCTTCATACGACAGTAAAATAAGAACCAACAACGGCCAAATTTTCTAAAAAACTAACCAATTTCCGTTCAGTTTCTTCGAGCTCTTTCATTTTCCGTCCTAAGCTCTCTTCCAAGTCCTGACACCGCTTCTTCGTTTCCTCCTAAAATAAGAGGACAAAATTACTTATATGTCAAGCCAGTACAAAAAATCTATGTTATATTAAAAAGAAATACCAGTCCTGACATATCTTCCTTCTACGAACCTCACTGGATATATTTCTGATAAAAGCACAAATAATATAAAACAAGACGAGACAACCTGATGGTAGAAACGATAGATTAGGTTAAAATATAGATACTCTTAGTCTGCGGTGCAGCAAGTATAGTTAGAGAATTGAAACCTAAAACCTATTATTGCCCCGGTCTCGCAAAAAGACATCTAAACATTTGATTTCAGATTTTCAATGTTGTAAGACTCGTAAATTTCCGCTCCTCCACCTCACCTGGTCTAGGGACCTTTCAAACTTGATAACACTGTTTAAATGAAACAAAACATATGCATTACAGCACCAGTGTTGATAACATGAGGGCTCTAGTAAAGCGTTTTTCAATAAATTACTTCTTTTCAAGATAAAATCTTTCAAGAGTTATGTTGAAAAAGCAAAAGTCAAAATTTCTTCTAGTAAAAATAATTAAACGAGTAGCAGCATCTAAATTTTTTAATTGAGTGAAAGCTATTTAAGGGTAGTGAAACAGTGGATATGTCAAGAAAACTAGTCGTAAACTAGTAAAAGTAAATTATAAGACTGTACCTCTCTCCGTTTACTTAATTCCACCTCATGCATCATTTCTTGCTCAATCTGCACACGAAGTCTAGCTTCAAGTTCAGCGCGCGATTTACTAACACGCTCCTGAACAAGAGATTCCAAATCGGCAACACGAGCGCTGACCTAAACAAGAATAAGGACATAAAATATAAACAAAAAAGTTTCGTCTTTCATCATATAAAAGGTTACATGCCCCTCCCTCAAAAGAAATCTTTAAACAATAAAGCGAAATAAAACAACAAGTGCTAAAGAAATGAAGAAAATGAGGAGCGAACAAATACGAAACGAAGCAATGGACCGGTCCTAATTGTTCAATAAGTCTTCCTCAACAAACTCAAGCGATTTTTCTTACACATAAGCTGACGGCAAAGTTAAAAAAGTGTACAGAGAGAGGGGCAGCCTACAATATTTTTTGAGCCGCTCTAAAAAAGTAAGAATTTTCAGCATAAGAAAAACCTTGAAAACTAGCGATACCAAAACATGTAAAAGAAGAATCACAACTAGACTAAAACCTCATAAGCGTCCTCAAGCGATCCAAAATAAATGCGGTAAAGCTCAATGCTAAAACACAACGCGGCGTGTAGCTTCAGTAGAACATTTAAGATATCTGAACCATCTTTACGATTCACTGTAAATTTTTGATCTAAACACAAAACGAGTTGGACAAAACTAAGAAAATGAAACAAATCACTTCTACCCTAAACAAAAAATAAAACCATGACACTTTGATCAACGAAACTAGATTCCATATGACGCAGCAAATTGGCACAAAAAACCGCAGCGCAAAAACCTTAGTTAATGAACTACTAGTCTTTGAATAGCGCAACGCAGAGATTTGTAAACAGATACTGCTTATCTATCCGTCGACCAAAGCAATTTTCGATCATACACTCCTGCAGATTTTTGTTCGTAGTAAAACCGAGTGACATATATAAAAGCTTCAACAATTAAGGAATTTTAAAACAGCAAATTCTGAAACTAAACCGTGATCACATTTGCAGAAGTCGTGCTATAATAACAATTAAACTTCGGTAATCAGCTGCCTATTATCTTAAAAAAAATCCGATATTAATTTTGAAACCGAAGCCAATACCCAATGTCTAACCAAAAATTCGAGGAGTATAAGCATTGCAAACTTAGAGGTGATAACCGTCTTTGAAAAACAGTAGTCTTTCCTCAAAATTAATGGCAATAATGACATCAAATTGATATTTTCGTAATAAAATAAAGAAGTATAATGAAAAATCGAAATATACCTGTTCAGTTATCCTAGCATCTAACCACTCGCGAGCTGCAGCACTCAGCTGCGAAGCGTCAAATTTTGCACCGGCTCCCAACTCGTTTACTAAAGCTGAGAGCGATGTACTTGGTGAATTGGAACTGCCACCGTTCCTTAAAAATCAGAATGGATACCAGTGAAATGGGAAATTTCAAAAATTAAATAAATAAATAAAACAAAGCATAGTAAAATAAAATAAAGCAAAAATAAAAATGAAGATGAACGAAGAGTAAAGTGACAAAGGTTTTGAAATCAATATTTTTTAAACCACCTTCACTGAAAGTTGTTGGATATTTTTTTAGATTTTTGAACATTTAATAAACTGCGGAAAAATTTCGCATAGAAGCGACACAGGAAGAATGTCACGACACAACTTTTTTAATGTTCGGAGAGACACACAAAAATATATTTTGAAACCTGATCCAGAAAAACAAAAAAAAAAAACCTTTTCCTCTCGCGTTTAAGAAGCGCCTCAACACTTTCTTCACTCCGTTCTGAACGATCCGAATCTCTGCGCCGCCGTCGCTCTTTCTTGTGCCGTCTATCGCGTTCTCTTCGTTCATCCCTATCCCGCGAACGTGAACGCCATCGGCGATCCCGAGACTTGCTTCTACTACGGCTGCGAGGCATATTATTAAGCTGCAAAAAGTGTTGCGTAAAAAAAAACATACAAACAGAAAAATGCGCACCTAGCCATACCTGAAACCTATGAAATACTAAAAAATGACCCATTTTCAACCTTTTACTTCAAAACGTCGACAGAATTTACTCTTTTTTCCAATCTTTACAAAGACCCATAGCTACAAAATAAACTCAGCATTAAAACAGCATGTTGAAAAAACCCAACCGGTGTCGTTTCAAGACTAGAGACTAAAAGAACTAGATGTTTAGTACACAACAGTTTTTTCTTCTGATTTCAGATCCCTCCTGCAATCAGTGACAAAAACTCCAAAGATCTACCGAACATAATATAAATATAAGTGCTACTTATTGCTTAATTACATTCACAGTTCTGGAACCAAATATTCAACTTTTAATCAATTTGAAATAAAAAAAAAAAAACCAGCAGTAACACGCAGTATCGCACAATGCCGGGAAGTGAAAAAACGCTGTCGAAAGAAGGAAAAAGAAACAATCACACGTAGACTGTATTGTAACATATGAACGCGCCGAGCAAGGCACCAAAGACACTGTAAATGCGGTCAGTCTACTGATTTATCGCAGCACAGGTAAAATAACGTCAGAATAAACTCCGAAAACTTTTTTTCGACTTCAAACTGTGCTTACGCTGACCAGGCAAGAAGCTGAACACCAGTTTCGTAATCAGTACATCAGAAAATGTCTACGTCAAATGTAATATGTCACTTAAGCACCAAAAATCGGCGTTCTACGGCGAATTCGCACACGCCGCCAATAGCATTAAGCGAACTGAAATGTAAGGATGCAATGGGATGCGCACTAATATAGGGTGCGCTAGTGAACGTTAAAATTCACTCTAAGACAATATCGTTTATTGCAGCGGAATATGGTGGTCTAGCGACTGTTGCACCGGTTATAATCTCTGGTGGGCATCCTCGTCTCTAAGTTTATGTCTATGTTTATTTAAGTTTAGGTTCGAGTTTATGTATATCTCTGATATCAAAGGTATCTTTCAGTTTGTTTCATTAGGCGAATTATGCTTCATACTCGGATTCTCTGCTTATTCATAGTTTTGCAGACCCCAGCCTTTACTGCTGGCTCCATAACATCCGATTATTACTAATATCATTATCGTCCTACTGCTGTATGGTATTTTTGGTTTTACCATTGTTACTGCCATTGTTGTTATCGTTATTCGTTTTGTTGTGTTCTACTGTTTTTTTTCCTCTTATTTTATAAGTTGGCTTTCAGAGGAGCTTTTTACTTAGCTTTGTTCAAATTATTGAATTTACGTTGTCAGGCTGTAGAAAATGTGTTGTGACTGTTAATCTGTCTAATTTTTATTTCTTCGAGAAATATTCAATTTTTTTTCTTTTA